ACTATCACTCACATCACATGGGTTACAAAATTTTACATACGATGCACAACGTGCTCGTGAGGCACTAGCTAAATTTTTAGCTAGTGCCGAATTGCCTCTTTCTTTTGCAGATGATGCCTCCTTCGAAGAATTCATCTAGACAGTCTTTTGCCCACAATTTAAACGGGTAAGTAGAAACACAAATCGTTCTGATTGCACGAAAGTTTTTTATGCAATGAGACAATCTCTTGTTGATAATTTTAGGACTTTTAATGCTATTGTGTCTTGCACTTCTAATCTGTGGGAGGGGTGTAATAAAACTGGATATTTATGTGTCACAGCGCACTACGTTGATGACGATTGGGTTTTACAAAAAAGAATAATTGGTTTTCATTTATGTCCATATCCTTATAATGCAACAGTTATTTTCAGTACAATAATGGAAATTTTTGGGTTTTATGGGATAGAAGATAAAGTTTTAACAATTACTTTTGGTAATGCGTTAGCTAATACAGCTGCAATTAATCTGTTTAAACATAGTTTGAAACCGGCATTTGGAGGGGAAATTTTTCATCAACGGTGTGCATGTCACATAATTAATTTAGTAGTTCAGGCAGAAATTGAACATATCTCTGCTAATCTTACAAATATTAGAGAATCATTATCCTTCATATCTAGTTCTGGAGCTCGGCTCCAAGAATTTAAACAATATTGCAGGAATAGCCAGATGCGCCCAAGAAAGTTTCCAACTGACGTGAGACATAGGTGGAATTCAACATATTTAATGTTGAAGGCAGCACTCCCATATTCACAGCTTATCACGACATACGTAAATAGTAAGAACGATCAAATTTTAATTTTCGATCCTGATTGGCAGATTGCTGAGTATTTTTTTAAATTTTTAGAAGTTTTTTACAATACTACTGAATTACTTTCTGGAGGTTATTATCCTACTGCACATTTAGCATTCCATCAACTATTTAATACGTCAGAAATATTTTCTTATTATAGGGCTACACAACTTTTTGAAAATATAGTTAACTTCATGGAAAATAAATTTAAAAGTTATTGGTCAGGTTGTCCTATGTTATATGCATTGGCAACCATTTTAGATCCTAGGTGCGTAGTAGATGGAACTGAATCATTGATGACTGCTACCGCAGAGAATTTAAAAATAGATATGCAACTAAGTATTACTGACGCTAAGAAAATGTTAGAAAAAGTTTTTAGTTTGTATGAAGCAAAATATAACACGGGTCAAAACGAACAGGGAACTTCGTCGTCAACTACCAGTTCAGGGCCTAAAGGATCGTCGTGGAGTTTCTTGAAGAAGAAAGAGAAAATGACAGGATCGTCCTCAACACAAGCGTCTATGGAACTAGCCAAATATTTTGAAGCAAATTTTGTAATTGATGACGACAAACTAGACATCTTACAGTGGTGGAAGAGCAAGACAGATCGTTTTCCAACACTGTCCATAATAGCTCGTGACATTCTGACAACTCCAGTGTCAACGGTAGCATCGGAGCAAGCTTTTAGCGCAAGCAACCGAATTCTTGACGAGAAGA